TTTGAACAACGATACGTATTGGAAAATTAAAAATAAAAAAAGAAAAAAAAAAAAGAAAAAGGTGCGTTGCTTCGATAAAAATAAGGTAAAAAATAAAAAAAATAGTGAACTTTTGATCGCCGCGAGACTTTCCTCTGGTTAATCTGTTCGAAATACGTTCTAATCTTTCAACTTCCAAATAACCAAAACGATATTCTTTATATTTACTACTACACGGCGGTATGCCTTATTCCGATGAAAGTCAATCGAATCGCAATTTTCGAATTGTTAAATCGGTCAATTATCGTTCGTTTTTCTACTTTATAATTTTTCACGTCAATTTTCCCTCGAAATTGGAGCCTTTTTTCTTAAATGAATATTTTTTATCGCAGAAGCAGTTAGTGAAAGATTGGCATAGTTTTAAAATTCAACCAATGATCGTGCAATTTCGTGGGACCAAATACAAAGAGTAGTCGGAAAATGTACTACCTTTCGAGTAGCGATCGTGAGTAATTTTTTTCGTGATGACAATAGAATACTCGTATAGCCATATATTAAAAAGCTCTCAAATGTTCAGGTTTTTGCTCTATTTTTTAGATCATGATTTTAAGCGTCTTTATTGGCGCTTTGGCATCGCAATGTGTTCTCTTCGATTGATGAAATTTATCTGCGATCACACGATTGAGAAACCAAGTGTATTACGTGTGCATGTCAATAAAATTCGTAATTCCTCGGAATAAGGTCGTCTTTATAATCTACACATACCAGATGTTGTCACGTACGCGTGAATGATATTAAATACGTTAAAAAAAAAAAAAAATACGTGTTAAAGCCTCGGAAGAAATCTCACAAAATAAAATCTTTCAAAGAATGTTTTCTAAATAGCTCATTTTTTGCACGATTTTATTTTGTCCTTCTTTCATCTTGTAAACTCGCATAGTAATTTCTCATGATTTTTGCTCCGGTCTATTCGTCAGAGCAATTTTTAATTTTATTATATGATATTTCTTCAAAGTAAATAGCACAAAATTATATAGAATCTCTACGATAAAAGGGTGTAAAGAAAGAATGTTTTATATAAATCCTTGATTGTTCAAGAAAAGAGTGAGAAATAATTGAAAGAATAAAAAAAAAAAATTGGAATTATTTTTTGTTGCGATAGAAAACTTACAAAGTTAAGCTTACAAAGTCTGTGAATAGTTTAAGTAACATTGCCGGCGATTTGTTGTCTTATGCACATACGATTTATTGTTAATACTCGTGTATAATCCTCGTTATTCGTTATACGAGTTGTCTACATTCAAATAATACATGTTCGTTTCGAAGTGGATGCAAATATAACGGTCGATGATCCTATTTTAAAAATCTTTTTTTTTTTCGACATGCGCGCGGTCGAACGAATTTGACGACGCAGGAAGAAAAAAAAGAGATATTCGTGACCAAGCGAAGAAAGAATGGTCGCAGCGGGATAAATTGAATGAAATTTGTTGGCTCTTATTACGTGTAATTAAGTCTCTTTCCGTCTGTGATGATAATGGGAAAAAAAAAAAAAAAAAAAAAAAAACAAGATTCGTCGTCGTGAATTCTTGATCGTGGAACGAAGTTACATTCGTGAAACGATTTATATGACGTATCCATTACAATTATTAATATTTGTTCTTAACTCTCTATGGTCTGCTTCCTTTTGAATTTAAATTAAATTAAATTTAAATTAAGCTTATAATAAAACATTCTGATTCACTTCCGATCGTTAACAACATTATAATATAATAATCGATCCTTTGAAAAAAATCGATTTAATTGACGAATCTGATGTTTTCTTTAAAGATTAAATGAAAGATAATAATATTGACGATATAAATTAAACCATAGAGGGTTAAAAGGCTCGTATAGATGCGTGTATTGAATACACGTATATATTTTAATAAGATTAAATACGATTCGTAGCGATATTTTTAAGTGACGCAATATTCGACGGTTTTTTATTTAGCAAAAACAACAACAGCAAAGAAAAGAGGTATATATATATATATATATACATATATATATATATATATATATATATATATATATATATATATATATAT